GGAAGCTGAATTAAACTCAATACTCCTATGAAGAAAGAAAGAAAAAGAACCGGCGGGTCAGATGGGGTAGCACTGATTAGCCTCCAAGCGAGCGCAAGCAATGCTGATTGGTTGTGGAACAGGCACAGGCGGAGCTGATTGGCCATAGGGCTGGGCGGGAGCAGGAGCCGGGGCAGAAACCCGCGCGCTGGAGAGCCGGCATTGGGGTCCCTAATCGTAAATTTGAGTTGCCGCCCCTTCAGGAACTGAGAGGAGCAGGAAGATAAGAAGCGGGTATGGGCGGTGGGTGTTCCCTGAGGCCACGAGGTATAAGTGAAGGTCCCGGGAGGGGGTCAGGAGTGCCTTGGAGACGTTATTAGCACTAGAGGGGAATTGAATGGGGTGTGTGTGTTGGGGGGAAGGGGGATTGCCCGTTCTGTACCTTGATCCCAGGAAGTGAATTCATGAGGGAGTGGGAATTTCCAGAGTGTGCTCATGGCTGGGGATTGGGCCCCTCCAGACCTCTATCTGTCCTAGGAAGGGCATTCAGGACTTGGGGAGGGGCTCCCTGGAGCCATTTTTACCTCGAATGGGGGACCTCGAATGGGCGTTTCTGATACTTCATTTCCAGGGAGTGAGCTCAGGGCTGGGGGTTTCTTTATCCACAAGACAGGGTCTCCCGGCTTGGATGGGGATTGCAGAGACACCCCCACCTTGGGAAACATGTTAGACCCTAGCGGGGGCTTCCATGAAGGTGTCAGCTCAGATAGCTCATCCACTGTAGGGGAAATTAAGGGCTCATGCCAAGTTTCTGAGGCATCCCAAGCCCAGGAAAGGTCTGGAGTCAGGAAGTGTCTCCAAAGCTATTTCTACCAGCAGGCAAGTGTTTTAAGACTTGATAGGAGTCCTAGGACCTAGAAAGGGAGTTAGATGGGAATCTCTAGGTCACTTCTGTTCTTGGAAGCTGATTGCTTTGGGGAGTTATCTGCAGTTTCTAGTGACAATTCAGTGTTGTGGCAGAAAGTAATTTGCAGCCCCTGGGGCTAGGGTCTCTGAGTCTGCCCTCTCTCCCTGCCCCCAGTCTCTGAGGATTTGCATGAGCCCTGGGCTCCAGCTTGGTGGCCTAGGCAGGGAGGAGGGGGGCAGGGGGGTCATTAAGAGGAGTAGGGCAGCAGCCGACATGTGGACATGTGTCCCAGCACAGAGTGAACTGCTTGGCCACATGGTTGGATGAAGGGGAAGGGAGGGGGTGGAGAGGAAGAGGGGCATGTAGGGGACTGAGGAAGGAAAGAGATTGTCTGCAAGAGGAGACAGAGTGAGTCTAGGGTTCGAGAGCAGAGGCTATCCCCACTCCAAATGGCCATCTCATCTGCTATGGGGTTGGCCTCTCTCTGTATCTTTCTGTGTCTCGGTCCTCTATATAATTTCTCATTGCCGTCTTTCTGTATGTCTGAATACCTTCTGCTTTCTCTTCTCTGAACCTCTTCTTTCTCTCTCATCTCTTTCTATCGGTCTCTCACACTTGTCTCCAACTGTCCATCTATCTCCCTCTCTCTCTCTCTCTCTTTTTTTTTTGGAGATGTTTTTGCTATAGGGCATGTGTGCTCACCAGAAAGACAGAGAGACAGAAAGCGAGAAATCATCCCCCCACCACCAGGGGGGATGGCCACGCCGCAATCCCTTCTCCTCCATTCTCCTCTCGGGATCTTGGGCATGCACACACACGTGCCCGGCGTGAGTTTAAGCCACCGGGTCTGGGACTCAAACCGCTGTGGGCTATGTGGGAGTCCAGCGACATAGCCATTATGCTAACTGCTGGTCCCTCTCCCTGTCTCTCTTATCCCTCTCTGTTCCTGGTCTCCTCATCTCATCTGCTCTGTCTTTATATCAGTCTGTTTCTGTGTGACCCCTTTCCTGCTTCAACAGATTTCATTTTGTATCCCTGCGTGCTCCATCTCTGAGCCCCTCACCCCATTCCTCTGCCCACAGGATGAAACTGCAGGAATGGAAGATGAATGGAGCCCCAGCTACAGGTGCTGCAGGGTGAGTCAGCAGTCCATCTAGGTGGGCTGGGGTTCAGGGTTACCATAACTCTCCTCAGCCCTTATGTCCCTTGCCTTATCCAGCTACAGGCAGGAATG